CGCCGCATGATGTACAGTAACAAGGCACCTACAACATCGACCATGGAGCCACGCCGAGATGGGCCTAGGGGACGAAGCCAGAGCTGGCGACACTAGACGATGTGGACCATGTCGCGGCCGCACCTCCTGCCAACCCTTGCAGGTAGCTGCCTCACGCTCAACGCTCACACCGCTGGAGCACTTGGAAGCCAGCGGCGTTTGCGGGGCCAGCTCTACGCCATCCTCATCATCTTCATCATTGTCGTCATCAAAGGAGCTCCACGAAGACACCATATTCGTAGCCAAAGCATCAAAAGCACCCAAGGCAGCCAGCAGTTCTCCAGCCCTCATGTGGTAAGAGGGCCCAGTGACATGACCGCCATCTCCAGCAGCAATGATGGGTGATGCGATATGCGTTGGCGTCGCGAGGACCAGATTGGAGCTGGCCTGCGACTCGAGCGTGGACGGAACCTCACACATGACCAGTTGTCCATGCATGGTCGGGGCAGCCTTGCGGGAGGCAAGGGAGGCCACAACGAAGCCGCGCGCAGATGGCGGTGGCAGACGGGAGGGGGCGACGCAGACAGTAGGAGGAGCCGCAGAGGACAGGGCGACTCCCATCGTCGGAGCAGCAGGAGGGCGAGACCGGCCCGAAGTTCGCCATGAATCGGTCGCTGGAGAAGAGACATGCGGGAAAGGATGCGTCGGAGCTTGGCCGCCACACGCAGAGCGAACGGAGGTTGAGGCGGAGCAGCAGTAACCGGACGAGGCCGCTGCACTGGAGGACTGCCGAGGAAGAAGCGGGTGGCGGCGCCGCGCGCCCACCCGCGAGCGCGGACGGGAGGTGCCCATCTCCTCACATAAGGCATGCAGCTGAGCAGGGGCACCGGATCTGGCCTCGGCAGCCACAGGAGGAGGACGGATGAGGCGGATCTGGCGACGTCATGGGCGGACACTCACCCGACAAAGGAGCTCCGGATCACTTGGGTTGCTTATTGACATCTTATGGATATGTACCAGTTAAGATATAAAACATAAAACATCTATGCATCAGTAATAATAGTGAATAGATGAATGCAGGCTCTCGAACCTGCAGCAACATTGCCCAGGCTTGTTGCCTCATCATAATTAAGGGCCTCACATTGCCACGTATAGTACTCACTATTAGAAAAAGGGCTATAGCTAATATGGACATTAATGGCGCAGCACATATGTGATGCGTGACTGCTATATAGCAGTGGCACACCATGTGTAGGTACGTCATTAATGTCCATACCACTAATGGCACACCACACCCACGGTGCGTCGCTACTAACAATTTTTTTTTCAAAACTAGTAATGGCGCACCAAGTCATAGTGCGCCATTACTAGTTTTAACTAGTAATAACGCACCACACACTCTGTGCGTCACTACTAACAATTTTTTTATACTTTTTTTTTCAAAACTAGTAATGGCACACCAATGTATAGTGCACCATTATTAGTTCAAACTAGTAATGGCGCACCACAACCACGGTGCGCCACTACTAATAATTTTTTTTGCAAAAACTAGTTACTAACTTTCTTTGCACCCCCCCCCCCTCCCGGACAGCCTTTTCAGATTTAGAAAGAATAAAAGAAAATGATGGAAATGTAAAAGAAGAAAAGAAAAGAAGTTTCTCATGTGATATGTGGTGTAGTTGTTGGGAAAATTTACAAATATGAATTTCGACTTTATTTGCAAAATCTCTCTGAAATTTAATAAAATGGGCATAACTTTTGCATACGAACTCGGATTAAAAAGTTTTTTATATGAAAAGTTACATCCGAATTCAACAGGGGAACCCCGTTGAAGATTTTTAGAATCACCAAAAACCTAACAGAATGAAAGATACGGGGCTTTTAAGATCTAGAGGGGGAATAATGAAAAATAATTCAAACCAAGTAGTGGCGCACCATTTGCTAGGTGCGCCACTTGTAACCGAAAAAAAATTGGTTTCAAAAAAATTGGATTTTTTTCAAAATATGATACGTAATATGACCGAGAAGTTTGAAATATTTTTTCAAAATTTCATCACACTCATGAACATGAACAAAGTCCTAGACATCAACAAGGTTTAATAGGATTGATATGATAGATATATCAAAAAGTGCCTGTTAAGTGAGTTGGTGCTGGGGTTGGATAGAACTACGAAGTTAAGCATGCTCGGGCTGGAGTAGTGTGAGGATGGGTGACCTTCTGAGAAGTTTGACCACGAAGTGCGATTTGACTTGAGATTAAGCATATTGTCCCGAGATTAAGCCATAGTAACCCATTACTATTTGTTACTAGTGGCTGGTAATAGTGGGGCATATATAGTGCGTCATCAATGATAAAAATAGATGCGCCGCTAATTAGCCTTTTTCTAATAGTGACTGACATGTGAGTTGCAATGTGACGAGGGGGTTTACACACTCTGCTCTGCAACAACGAAGACGTAAATCAGACGATTATCTAACCCACGAATCAAGGCGACCAACGGAAGTCCGGACAGGAACGGGGAACCTTGGCACCAACGCCGGCGAACCACGCCACCTTCCTCGAGCGAAACCCAAGTTCTGACAAGCCACCGAATAACACAAAACATTGCGCTGGGTCAGTAACAATAGCTTACGAGGCCCGACCCTAGAAGAACTGAATAATCCCACAACTGGAGCAACGCGTCGGGTGCGATCCAATGTCATGCACGACTGCTCATTGGCGTACTGATCGGTGTGCTGTGCGGACGTTCTGACAGCTGACGCATTAGCATTAAGATTTGGATTATCCGTGACGCAAAGGGCGGGAGTTTAACCGTCTTGTTATCAACTCAGATAATTTGAAAGTCATTGACACCATGAGGAACAAAGAATGTTATGTGGGAGTGGCGGCAGTTGCCTTTGATGATTAACATTATATGTCTCGTGATTTCCCTGGTACGAGTTTCAAACATTGTAATAGAAAAACAAACAAGAGCATCTCCAATAACAACCCGCAAAAACCTCCCACATTTGTCCGCGGACAATAGAGGGGCCAGTCTGTGGACATAGATGCGAAAGGTCAACATCCAATGCTAACCGTATACATTTCAAACTATTTTTCAACAAACCGTATGAAATTCATGCAAGTACGGCCAGATTTCGTACAAACATGAAGGATTTCACATAAACAGGACGGATTTAACTACATTTAGAACAACAAAAAAAGATCCGCCCCTAAACCTATCCCACGGCAGCGGCGGCCGGCGTCCAACCCCGTGTCGTCCTCCTTTTGCCGTCTCCATGAGCACTGGCAATAAGACCAATGAAGTAAAGGTGTGATCTTTAGTGAGGAAGAGTAAAACACGGGAGACGGACCGGCCAACATGGGACACTAGGCCCTGCCGCCTCCCGTGGCCTACTCATCCTCGGAGGAGTCCGCGCCTTGTCCGTCGCCTGTGGACGTAAGGTCCACGAGGGAAATGGTGGTGCCTTGGTTGTTGTCGTCCCACCCGATTGGCTGATGGTTCGTCGGCGGCGTGTAGGAGGCGCAGCTAGCTATGTTCTCCTCCGTGACCGCCTGCAGCTGCGCCTCCCCGCCCGCCGCTTCCTGACGAGCGGCGGCTTGAGCGTGGACGGCATCGTAGATGCCATGCTGCTCCATGATGAAATTTGGGTTCGTCGCGCCCATGGCCGCCACGGCCTCCTCGCTCGCGCGCTCATCGCAGATCTAGCCCTCTGCCAGCCGATGCTGCTCCAGGAGGAACAGGTTGTACCACTGTTCCTCCTGAGCCTACTCCATGGTGAAGTCGGCGTGCACAGCAGGCACTGGAGCCGGGGCGGAGTCGTCAGAGCCTGTCACCATCGTGGTGTCGTCCTCGTCGTCGGAGACCTCGGGCAAGCTGGACGGCAAGCCGGCCTCGATCTGCCTGGCACGGTGGCTATGCCAGGCGGCGGCAAAGGCGGCCACCGCATGCTTCATCCCCAGCCACAGACTGTCTCACAGTGCTTTCCCGCTGGCGGTCATGGCGAAGGATGTGGAAGGGTTGGTGTTGTGGTGTGGACTTAGTCGGGTGTGGCCGCCTTTATATAGCAGATTCCGATGAGGCGGGGCGTCCGGGTGCGTCAATGCGAGGCGCCGGAATGGGTTTCTCCACGGGCGAGCCTGCTTAATGGCGGCAGATGGACAAACCGCGGCATTGAACGGATGCCGTAGATATATGTCTCATTCCGTCTAGTCACGTGTCTCCAGCATTAAACAGGCGCGGACACCGGGAACACGTCGCGGGCCGCGCCCTCGGTCGGTGGGCCACTTTAATGGCAGAGGCAGTGAGAGGCCACATTCGCCCTGAGCCGTCTTTAATATTGAAGGCGCGCTCTACAGCAACATGAATGCGGTCAGCTGGTGTCTGGCGGGAGCGCGTGCGGGAGGGGGATGGTGGGTCAGGGCGGTCAGAAACGGGTTTGGGATCAGTCCGGATTCCCGCAAACCTCCCCTACGTTTGTCTTTGATTTATAAGAGAAATCGCATCCGGACCGTTCCGTGGACCAATACAGGTCGCCGTTGGATAGCTTCCGCGATCCAAACAATGCTATCTGAACGGTTGCGGGAGGTCTACGGATCCATCTTGAAGATGCCCTAAGATCGCTTGTGAGCTTGCTAGGTTGGCTTGATATTTTATGGCTTATGCTCCTCGTAGATGATGTAAGCGGTTATTTCAAATTAATAAAGTTATATTTGTTTGAAAGAAATGGACCTGAGCTGCCGACATACCCGCAGTGGGTGACTGCTCTGATCTGAATTCCCCATCGCTTTTGACTTCTGCGACTATGATTCGAAACCAGTCGTTGGTTACGGAATTTCACGCGCTAAAATTAGGTGGTGGTCCAGTCGTGGAGACTTCCTTACACGAACCACATGTGGTGCATTTCGCTGTCACTAGCTACGCCCTCGATCGAGTGGATGATCCAACTGCTGCCGGGTCCTTAAATATAGCCATCGCCACTCCACAAGGCACTACGAACACACCACACAAGTACCAAAAATGGCCAGGCCAAGGCAGCTGGTCCAGGCTACGGTGATCCTCCTCCTAGCGACATGGTTCCTCCGGAGCTCGTCAGCTCCGGCCATGCTTGCGCTCCCGCCGCCACCACAACCACCGGACACCCTCTGCATCCCCTACGAGCGGGATGCACTTCGCGAGTTCAAGGCTAGCCTCACCGACCCGGGCAACTACCTCTCGTCGTGGCGAGACGATGAGTGCTGTCGATGGATAGGCGTCGAGTGCAGCAACCGAACTGGCCACATCATCAAGCTCGAGCTTATCGGGTCTAACACCATGGGTTGGCCTATGGGAGGTGAGATAAACCCCTCCTTGCTCACTCTACGACATCTGAGGCATCTTGATCTCTCGTTCAACGACTTTGGTGGCATGCCCATTCCGGAGTTCATCGGCGGTCTTGGGAGCCTGACGCATCTCCTCCTCTCTGGCTCGTTTTTCGGCGGGCAAATCCCTCCCCACCTCGGAAACCTCTCCAACCTGCTCATCCTTGACCTATCAAATCAGATGCACAGTTGTTACTCGCCCGACCTCGCATGGGTCTCGCAGCTATGGAAGCTACAGTACCTTGGCATGTCTCAGGTGGACCTCAGCGCCGCCGTCGACTGGGCTCATGTTGTTAACATGCTCCCCTCCCTCATAACTCTTGAACTACAATCTTGCGGGCTTCGGAGCACTATGCCTCCACCGTTGAACTCCAACCTCACATCACTAGAGAACCTCTACCTCGACTCCAACTCCTTTAACTCATCCTTTGGAGCCAACTACTTGGCTTGGGATCTCCCTGCTCTTAGAGTGCTTTCAATGTATAGCTGCGGGATTTGTGGTTATATCCCTTCCGCGGTCGGAAACTTTACCTCCATCCGATCATTGGTCCTTGACAATAACAACTTCTCCGGGATGGTGCCATCGACCTTCAAGAAACTCAAGGAACTACAAATGCTCAGATTATCACACAACCTCATTAGCGGGGCCATAGAAGATCTATTGTTGCATAGATTGCCAACAGATGAGTTACAAGAGTTGCACTTGGACCACAACAGCTTGACAGGGAGAATCCCAGCTCGTTTAGAGCACTTTAGCAGCTTGACCACACTTCGGCTGAATGACAACAAACTATTTGGAGAGGTACCCGTTGGTATACGAGAACTCACAAATTTAAAGGAGTTACAGTTAAACTCAAACAACCTACATGGTACAATCACTGAAGACCATTTCATGAACCTGACTAGCCTAGAAGTGTTGTGGCTCTCCAATAATTCCTTAACCGTGTTGGTTAACAACACATGGAACACTCCATTCAAATTAACTTCAGCGAGCTTTAGATCTTGCATCCTAGGACCACAGTTTCCAACATGGATTAGCCAAACAACACTCGGCACTCTTGATATTTCAAACACAAGTATACATGATTCCATTCCTGATGAGTTTTGGACTGCAGTTTCCCGTGCTAAAATTTTGGATTTGTCGGGAAATCAAATTGTTGGCAGGCTTCCCACAGTTTTTCTGTTTGGTGGATTGGAAGCTATGATATTGGATATCAGTTCTAACCAGCTTGTTGGCCCGATTCCAACACTCCCAAAGAGCCTTCTCTACTTGGACCTCTCTGGGAACAACCTGTCAGGCAAACTGCCAACAGATATTAGAGCACCAGAGATGCAAGTGCTCATGCTCTTCAAAAATTCCTTTTCTGGCATCATTCCATGCTCCCTGTTTGAGTTGGAACAATTGAATTTCTTAGACCTATCAGAGAACCAACTAAATGAGACATTGCTGGATTGCCCTCACGCACCAGAAACTTCAAATCTTTTCAAGCTTAGCTTGCATAACAACAATCTTTCGGCAGAATTTCCATCGTTTCTTCAGAGGTGTAAAGAACTGAAATTCCTTGATCTAGCATACAATCAATTTTCTGGGAGCTTGCCGACGTGGATCGGTTCAAAGTTACCATACTTGGCATTTATGCGGTTGCGGTCAAACATGTTCTCTGGTGGTATCCCTGTTGAACTCACCGGGATGAAGGGGCTTCAGTATTTAGACATTGCAAGTAATAACATCTCAGGGGACATACCAATGTCATTTGGGAATCTCATGGCTATGGCTCATACTCCCAACCAACAAGATGCCCTTTTCCAAATTGTCCACTTTCGATCGGCTTCCACATATATGTTCCTCATCGATCCCTCTGATATGGGTAGTTTGGTGGTGGTCACAAAGGGTCAAGAGCTCGAATACACAACAGGAATCGCGTACATGGTGAACATTGATTTTTCCTGCAACAGATTAACAGGGAAGATTCCTCGGGAAATCGGCATGCTTGTAGCATTAACAACCCTAAATTTGTCTTGGAATCATCTCAGCGGCATGATACCCCAAACTATTGGTGAGCTACAGGCAGTAGAATCTTTCGACCTCTCTCATAACGAGCTCTCTGGTGAAATCCCTACAAGTTTGGCATCTCTAACATCGTTGACCCATTTGAACTTGTCATATAACAACCTGACGGGAACTATACCATCTGGAAATCAGTTAAGGACTCTGGATGACCAGCCATCCATATATGTTGGCAACCCAGGTCTCTGTGGTCCACCTATATCAAGCAACTGTTCAGGAACTGGAATCACCCCACGGGCTCTTGAAGATGGGCATGAGGGCGTGAGCGATGGGTTGTCACTATACCTCGGTATTGGCACCGGGTTTTTAGCTGGTCTCTGGATTGTCTTTTGTGGCTTCTTGTTCAAGCAGAATTGGAGAATTCGTTGGTTCTCATTTTGTGACAGCGTGTATGATTGGATTTATGTGAAAGTGGCACTGAGTCGGGCTTCACTGGCAAGAAAAATGCCAGTAAGGGCTGGCTGAGATCATGGCTAGGTGGAACTTCTGTTCTTACATAGTATGAATCTGGGATTAGTATTAAGCCCCTTTTGTCTTATGTAGCTTTTCTTTGCCATCTAAGTTGTAGCATGATAAAATGTGCATGTTTTCTTCTTATGGATATGTATATGAACTAAGACATGTGTATGGCTGTATTACCAAATTTCAGTGATAATAAATATTGTCCTGTGAGTTGCCTCATCAGAATTCAGAGGCTCTCGAACCTGAGGCGACATTGCCCAAGCTTGTTGCCTCATCAGAATTCAGAGCCTCACAGTGCCACGTACGGTATTGACCTGTGAATTGCAATGTGACGAAGGGATCTTCAGTCTGCTCTGCAACAACCGATCAAGCACCAAATCAGACGATTATCTCACGTGCGAATCATGGCGACCAAAAAAAAAACTGGACACGAACGACTCACCTTGGCACCAACGCCGACAACCACACCTTTGGCACGAAACTATACACGCATGAACACACACTTATTACATGGAGCTGGTACCCTGAGGATATGCCGCCCGGCCGGGTAGGGCCGCCATGGTAGATGAGCAGGATAGCATGAGCGATGCATTGTCATTGTACCTCGGCATTGGCACGGGGTTGGTAGCAGGTCTCTGGATTGTCTTTTGTGGCTTGTTATTCAAGAGGAATTGAAGAATTCGCTGGTTCTTGTTCACTGACAGAGTGTATGATTGGGTTTATTTGCAAGTGGCACTGAGTTGGGCTTCACCGGCAAGAAATAAACCCGTAGGCTCTGGCTGAGATCAGTGATTTCTGTTCTTACATAGTATGAATCTGGGATTGGTATTAAGCCTTCTTGCCTTCTGTAATATTCTTCTTTTGTATGCAAGTTATAGCATGATAAAGTTTGGTCGTTGGCATCTTACGAATATGTATATGTATTCAGACATGTGTATGACTGTATGACCAAACTCCAGTAAGAATAAATAGACGAAAGCAGTTGGCTCTCGAACCTGCGGCGACATTGTCCAGGCTCTGCTTCTTCATCAGAATTCATAATTTAGAGCCTCACATTGGCAGTTTGACACGTACTGTACTGACCCGTGAGTTGCAGCGTGACGAGGGGATCTTCGCATTCTTCTCTGCAGCAACCGAGCGCCAAACCAGACGAGCATCCCGGCCATGAATCACAGCGACGGATGAATCGTCCTTCACCTGGAGCCACACCGTTGGTGAGTGGATTGGGGGCGCACCCGTTGGTGAGTGGGACGGCACCGGGGGCGACCAGCTGGATCGGCTGCGAGGGCAGAGCGAAGCGGGTCGGTAAGAAATTCACTGAAGGCGGAGAGCGCGCGCACGTGTTGGTTGGGGAGGGAGTGAGTCGCTGACCTTGAAGGCGGGCGGTGGAGGAAGTCGGCGGAGCCCGTCGCGCCGCCGAGCCAAGAAAAGTGGCGACAGGGGGATTGCTAGGATTTTTCTTTTATTTTCGGCCGTTCCGCGGGAGCCGTTGGGCCTTTGCAGTCCGCAGTTACATGGATGGGCTGCTAATGTGAGCAGAGACATGGGCTCGGCTAGTTTGGTTGGACTAAAACCACCTGGGTTTGCCGTCCTTTCCTCTTCCCCCGTTCTCCAAAAAAAAACTACCAGTACTACTTACTTTATGTCATTGTCTCAAAAAAAAACTATAATTAGAGGGTTTGTCTTACATAATTGGAGGATACTCTTTGCAAAGTTCACCCATTTCTTTAATGGTGACGACTAGTGTAGTACTACTTTGCGACATTTGTTGCTACAGAGGAGTTTTACGGTTTTTTCACACATTCGTTTTTCAAAATATTTTATTTATTGAACCGTGTGTGTCCAAATCATGAACCGTTTTCACCGTTGCATTTCCCCCGTCGAGATCTTTGAAACTAGGTCCACGTGTGGGTTGGAGAGGGAGTGAGTTATTGACCTTGAAGCCGGAATTTTTCGGAAGTCCGCGGAGCCCGTCGCGCGGCGATGAACGAAGAGTGGATGGCGAAATGTTGCCGCAAAACTCACAGCAAACGCTTATGCAATACACAAACTATTCAGTAATATAAGTTGAAATGGTCATTTATTTAAAAATTCAAATGTTCATGACTTCTAGAAGAAATGTTCATGTGTGCCATGTATCTATCATGGAGAAAAGTGAAGAAGAAAGTAAAACATTTTTTATCTACGTAACATAAGTCAATGGTAAAAAATTAAAAAGAAGAAGCAAAACTCTAGAATTCATTGAGCTGATAGCAGTGTCTTCATTGACTGCGTCATGTGTGTGGCACGCATCCCCACGAAGCCCAGGCAACGCCCATCCCTCTTCCTCCCTTGTTTGCATGTTGCACAACAACCATTCCTTCCTTTGTTCCCCAGTGAGATCTGTTTCTCATCTCCTACCTTCTACCTTCCGCTATGGACGCACTCTCCCTCTTCCTATCCCCTTCTGAACTTGCCGCCATGGGACACACTTTCCCTCTCCCTCTCCCTTCCGGCGTCACCCCCAATCCTGCCGCGCCATTTTCTAATCCCTACTTAAGCCGCCCAACACTCC